ATTAATTAAACATTATGCATATATAGTTAAGATTCTAATACAAAAAAAAATCCCAAAATTAGTTAAACATTATCTCAACAATTTCCCAACCTATTATAATTTTTTTATTTAATTATGCATCTTATAATATAATATTCCTCAAATAAATATAGTTCGTGCATCGCACGGGTCACGCACTAGCTATGTTACAACGATATGGTATTAACTATAAATATATCAACAATTTCCCAAAGTGTGTACCCTAAAATCACGTCAATGTATTTCATATACTAAAATAATATCTCTACAAAAATAATTTTCCAAAATTAGTTAAACAAATATGCATATATAGTTGAGATTCAAATAAAAAATAATTTCTCAAAGTTAGTTAAACAGTTATACATGAATAGTTGAGATTCTAATAAAAAATAATTTCTCAAATTTATACATAAATAGTTGAGATTCTAATCTATTTTGAGAATGACAAGAGATTCTCTTATAGTATTATATAAATAGTTTTAGTACATGCTAATTTGTCTTAAGCAAATGATAGCCTAAATAAAATCCTATTATTGTTTTTAAAATAGATGCTTAAATAAAATTTTATTATTATTTTAAATGATATATATGATTCTTTTCCATATACCACTCGCTCAAGTTGTAATCTTTAGGATTTTTTACCACAACAAATTTAAATGATATCTAAAAGATAATCAAAAAATCTCTATTGTAATCTATGTATCATTGAGTGACCTACTCAAATAAATCTTTTATGATTCTCTAACGCAACAATCTCGTAAAAGAAAGTGAATATCTCATTGTTAATCAGACAATGAATCACTTCAATTTCAAATTTGCATTTTTAAAATGTTTCCATAGACCCATGATAGTTTGAACATATAAGTGTAATATATAAATAGTACGTGACAATGCAGGGACGATATTTATATTGGGAATATTATATTATAAGATGCATAATTAATAAAATATTTATAATAAGTAGGAAAATTATATAATAAGATAATATTCGACAAAACAATAATTTTATATTATTAAATACCTTCTTGTACAAAATTAGTAGTTTGATTGCTAGATAACTTTTCGTTCTCGCATATTAATATTTTCAACCCTTTCTATTTATTACACACGAAACAATAATACTTTTTGGAAGTCGCATAAAAATATAATCCTTCCAAATTTTAGAAAATATATTGTACACTTAAATATGCCTTTATCGACCCAAATAGTATAGTTAGAATTAAGTTGAATAAAAATTTGAAAGAAAAATCTAAATTGATATGTTTAATTCCAAAGTAATAGTATCGACTTTTAAATATTTGACATTTGAGATTTTAGATAATAAAATTTGATACTCGAAAAATCATATTTGATGTATAATCTATATATATACATATATATTTATATATATATATAGAGAGAGAAAGGATCATATGAGAATGACTTTTAATGCGAGAAATGAGATTGATCCTGTATCATTGGATCGATCAAACCAATGGACACGATCAAGTCAAAATTTTTTAATATCAGTCAAATATGATATGGCAACCTCGTAATTAAGTAGTTATATGGTGGTCAAATATATTCATTTGACCACTTATTAAGGGTATTGTAGTCATTATATAATAAATCCCAATTAATAGTGGGCCCACTCCAAATACCCTAATCTTGTTATCTCTCTCATACTCACACACACACCTCCCACAGACGCACACACACACACACTGTTGCGGGGCACACACACACACACACACACTATACACCGGCGACCTCCACCTGCTGCCACCCGCCACCCACCACCGCCACCGGCAGCCGCCCGTTTAGTCCACTCTCGCCGCCGCCCTTTCTTCTGCTCCAGCCGCCGCCCCTTTCCTCCACACTCGCCGCCGCTCTGGCCATTAACACCGACGACCATCGCTGNGAATTCGCCGGGAGGCTACTGGCGGGATGTGGCGGCATTCTCCGGCGCCGTATAACCGGTCGCCGGCGAGGAGTATGCACCAGGTGGTTGCTAGTGGTGAGCCATGTGAGGGTGAAGGAGTGTATCAATTTGAGCTCCTATTTGAGAATTAGATATATAAAAGGGACTCAATTGCAAATTTAAAAAGTTTTAATAAATCTCAATTTAATACATGGGTCAAATGCATAATTTATACAAATATATTAAATAAATTGGATAATAGTAATACTTATTATTATGTAACTCGATCGGTTCGGTTGTTTTTGTTGCTTAAAAAAAAGTCAAAATCGAATTGAAATATCCGAAATTTTAAAAGTAAAAAACATATAGTGAACATAAATGTAAACTTTCGAGTCGAAAAATTTAGTTCGGCCCGTATCGGTTAATACAGTGCAATCCGATAGTCATTAATGTGCAACTTATCTAACACTACAGTGCAACCTAATAGTTAAATTGAAAATGAACATAATTAATTGACTTATTCAACTTGATTAACCGAATTATTCTAAATAATATAAATAATTTGTTATTTATATTAAATTTATATTTAATATGTTAATAAATTTATTTATTATTTTTATACTGTTGTTGGTTGAAATAATTTATGTTCGATCGGTTTCGATATTTATCGTGTAATATGATAGTCATTATAAAGTGCATCGTTTTGTTTTGTAAAGTGCAATATATTAGTTTATAAAGTGCAACCAATTATTTAACACTACAGTGCAACCTGATAGTTAAATTGAAAATGAACATAACTAATTGGTTTATTCGGCTTTGTTAATCGAATTATTCTAAATAATAAAAATGATTTGTTATTTATACTAACAATAATATTGAATATGTTAATACTTTTATTTGTTATTTTTTATATTATTTATTGATGAACGTTTTTAGTTCGGTTAGCTTCGATATATATGGAGGAATCCGATAGCCGTGATAAAGTGCAGCGTGATGTTTTGTAAGGTGCAACATGATGTTTTATACAGTGCAATGTGTTGATGTATAAACTATAAAGTGAACTGCTGTGATTTTGGTACGGTAGACATTCTTGTGTTTTGTGTGGAATAATGATATGATTGATTTTAAAATATTACATATATCCGTTTTTTTTTATTTATGGTGTGTGGAGTGTGGTAATAAAGTGCAACGTTCTATTTTATAAAGTGCAAAATGTTGTTTTATTAGGTGCAACGTGTTATATTATCAAGTGCATCTTGCTAATATATAAAATGCACTAATTTATAATATTCCATATAAATTATGTGTTTTTTGAAAACTAAATTTAGTAAAAATAATTATATATCAAATTAATCTAAATACTTAAAATAATTTATTATCTATTATTATAAATATATATTTATTATTTTAATATTTTTATTTATTAGAAATTATAAAAACATTTCACACATTATTTACCATTAGTATGCATTTTATGAGAATATTGCTATATGTTTTGTCATGAATTTAATTAAAACAATATTTAAAATTAATAAAATTGTAAAATTGTGCCACAACACTATCAATTTTTTATTTTTATCTTTTTTTAACACAGTCAATGAATCCTAAATCCTTAATTTGTATTTACAAATTTACTACACATTAAAGTTTCTCTAAATTATAGATTTAGCCTAGGGACTAAATTGACATTTAATTAAAACTTATGAATTTGCAATCATGTCCCTGGGTAATATGTAATTCTCAAAATTGTGAGAATCACATAGGCCCACATGTCAAGCTCTCCGGCCGTTCCTCCGGCGATTTGGTCGTCTGCTCCTCCGTGGAACCCGTCCCTCCGCTCGCCGACGAAGCATTCCAGTGGCATCGACTAATCTGAAAATCCGACCGCCGTCACGCTCGAATTTTAACGGGACCCGGTCGAACTCGCCGCCATCTTAAGAAACACGTCTCCAACCATTTCTATTGCTCGTCCTCTATTTTTCCGAGATCGGAGATCGGGAGAGCGCAACGGAGACGATTTGAAGGGAGAGGAAAAGAGGAAACCTCACCGGCGGATGAAGGATCTGACGGCGGCAGACAGGCTATGGCGGGCGACGGTTCCGGACGTTACTGCGTCTTACGCCGGTGGGAGGTACCTGTGAGAGATCGGACGGTGGCGGTGGGTTAGGTGCCGGTGTGCCGCTGTACGTGTGTGTGTGTGTGTGTTTTTTCTGCCAGGTGAGTGTGTGTTGGTGTGTGTGTCGCGTGCGTGTGTGTGTAATGTGTGTGTGAGAGAATTAGAGTGTGTGAGAGATAAAAATGGTGAGGTTGGATGGTAACGTATTAATTTGTGGGCCTATTAATGTGGTGGGTAGTTAGTGTGTGCACAATTACCACAATACCCTTAATGAAGGTATAAATTAACATTTATTTTAGCCATTAGATCATCCGATCTAATGGCTACAATTTATTCTCATTTCTCACATTAAGAGTCATTCTCATGTGAACCCAACCCTATATATCTATATATATAGGGAGTGGTTCAAATAAAAACTAGTCTTGGTGTGAGAACCGTGAGAACCGTATTTGATGTTATCTTTTATTGTGTATGATGTTATTTTCAATATCACATGATGCTATCATTTTCACAAATGCTAATATAAATTGTGTTGTTATTTAAAAAAAAAAAATAGATTCATGTTAAAAATAGCACTAAAGCACAATCAATCATAGCATTACGTACAACTATAAATATATATATAGTTACATATAAAGAGATTAACATTTACTAAATATAGTTAGCAAAAATTTTGGAAAGTTTTGATGAGATTTTCGGACTGTAATAAATTAATAGCCAACAAAATTAGTGTTTGATTCCATACACACACGTGTTGGCATTAATAATAGAATAATTTGTGATAAGATTTTCCAAGGCGTCGTTTACTTTGCAGGATGGGATAAGACTAATTAATAGAGACTACTTTCCACGTCAGCATATATCCCTTGTTTACTTTTCGGGATGGAATTTGCATAAATGAATCCCTCATTTACTTTAATGGATTAAATGAGATGATAAAGAAGCAAAAAATGAGGGATTGACTACCTTGCCCTTCTTCAATAACATCGATTTCTTCCTTCTCCCCCGATCAAAATCATACTCACCTACACCCAAAATTTTTGCCCTAATTCTGAGTCCCGACGAGAGCGCCTCCTCACTCCCGACGAGAAGCCGCGACTCCTCCGTTCTGTACCTTTCACGAGTTCATCCTTCGCCCCCCGACCACACAATTTACATCCAAAGCGTGCTGCCCTAATTCTGCGCGAAGACGAGTGGACAACTTCACTCCCGACGAGAAGCCGCGACTCCTTGAATACGACTGTCGACGACGTCCCTCCGAGAGGTAAGAGAATATACCCCGGCGACAGTGCAGTGAGAGGTACGACCATTTTTCAGCAAGCTCGACTGTTTACTAACCTGTGCCTTTCGATTTTTGCCTCTTTTTCGTGAAATAAAAAAATCCTTGTGCTATGACCAATACATTCGAGATTCAAAACCCCATCAGATCCAGTGTTTGATTATGAACGATATTTTGTTTGACAATAAAAAGTGAACTGATGCGAAATCCCGTTGTTGTTCATCTTTGTTCATTTCCTATGTGTCAATTTGAAGTCGACTATTGAGCTACTTGATTAGTTTTTAACATAGTTGCCTGTGCATCTTAAAATGGTTGTATACATATAGCTGTCAAGATTTGTGGTATTTGTTCAATGAAAATCTGTCTTGAGGTGCTAAATGTTATGCATAGTGATGGACATAGCTCGACAGTATCCAATTTGGAAAGGCTAAACTGGTATCTCCCACTTCTGACGAAATCTAGGTGAATTGTAAAGCTGAACAATTTATTAGAGGAGTCCATATTAAAATTGTTCAGGTCCTTGTCAGTTTACATCAAATACATAAAGTCATGCTTCACATTGTTTCTATATTTCTGAGTTAGGCTGATGTTTTGATAGTGGTAGAGAAAAGGAGGAAGGACATGTTTTGAGGCTGCCCCATATCCTTGCCTTGTTGTTCTTGTTCTCTTTAAATGACATTTTTTTTTTTTGTTGTTGTTGGTGAAGTTTTTTACCATGATTTTAACATGATTATATTATGCTGATGAGATCATAAGTGATCGAAATAAAGAAAAGCCTAGAGAAAGGAAAGGCTTCTCTCTTGTTTTGCTGCCTTGTCTTAGTTTGAAGCTTAATTTTTGAAGCTGAAATGTGGAATTATTTTCAACAATGATGTGTAATTGAGTTATAAAAAAAACTCACGTGCATATATTAAACTCGAAAGTCCAAACCTGTATGTTTATATGTGGTAGTTCACGAATGTTATTAAAATTGAAAGTCCAGACTTGTCTTATCAAGGTAATTCAAGAATGTTATTAAAATCGAAAAGCCAAACTTGTATTTTTGTATATGGTACAGTGCACATATGACCTATCTATTACCTCTTACCTCATCTGCTGCTGAGTTATATGTGGAGACTTTAGTTCTGGGAGATGAAAGTATTTGCTTTAAGATGAATCTGTTTTGCATATGTGGAGACCTTAGTTATGGGATACTAACTTCAACTTTTTTCTTGCAAACATAAGTTTTGTAGCAATAATGGCTACAGAAATACACAAGTACATGCTGTGCTTTAATGTGTTTAAAATTATGGTAATATCATATTTTTCATGCTCATATTGGTTGCAGTTCCCATCTCTAGTCTGTATTGTCCAATAGTTCAAACTTTACCATGTAGATTACTTGCGCCTTGACCATTATTATCTTATTCTTCTCTTCAGGCAAGCAACATGTCAAATAGTTCTCACACGAGTTCAACCAATCGATATAACAGGGCCTCTACCCCGTTTGAGGTTAGGTTGTGTGAACATGACGAAGAAACCGTTGTGTTGACATCAACAACCCCTGAAAACCCAGCCCGAAGGTTCTTGAGATGTCCTCGCCGGAATGTAAAGTTTTTATAGTTCATTGGTCTGATTTAATATGTTCTGAAGTCGTGGTTTTTATAGTACCTGAAGTTTTGCCTCTGGTAAATGTTCATTGTTCACAGCCCGATCCGCCTTGTCGCCTATTTGAGTGGATTGATCCCGAATTGCCGCCGTTCCAAAAGGGTTGTTTCAACAAGCTGAAGGCTGAAAAGGAGAGGTTGCAAGAGCAAGTAATGTGCAAAACTGTAATGGAGAAATTGCTATCGGAGAGGTTGGAGTTAAAAGCGACCGAGATCAAAGCACTAGAAGATGCGAAGAATCGGATGATGACTGATTTGGAGATTGCAGCAACAGAAAAAGTTGAACTGCAGTCGAGACTTGATGATGTTGTCCGTCAAGCTCGAAAGTTGGAGGAGAAGGTCACATTCATGAAATGTACCTTTTGGTTCGTCGTTGTTGTTCTTTCACTCTTTTGTTTCTTTAAGTAAGATTGTGTAGAATTAAACAATCTGAAGTTGAATGGTTGTCTATTTTGGTTTTGAAAAACATAATATGTGTTTTCTTGAAATAGCATGCTACGGTATTACAGTTGTACTACCAAGTCATGCTACGATAATGATCAATGGTTACGTGTTTTCTTGAAATAGCATGCTACGGTATTACAGTTGTACTACCAAGTCATGCTACGATAATGATCAATGGTTACGTGTTTTCTTGAAATAGCATGCTATGGTATTACAGATGTACTAAGGCTAGTTTCAGCTTTTTTTCAAAGTTGAGCTGACAAGTCCTTATCATCTTCCCCAATTTAAATAAATTACATGCATTATTGGTCATGTGGCAATAAATGTATTTGCATTATTGGTACTATTCAGAGAGCATGCGCTCATCACTTAATAGACCATCATATGCATTGTCTCGTCATCTTTTTGGTCAAAAAAATCAGATTCGAAGGGACAGACTATGACAAGTCACTACACATGACTATAGGTAGCTTTAAGCTAATTCTGCAAAGCCGAATTGATTAGACAACACTGACATGAAGACCACGAATCTTGCCTTACACCCTTGAATGCATGATTGATCTTGGATGCAAAACTTTTTGCTATTTAAACACCATAATGTAGAACATGTGTTCCACAAGCATAGAAAGAAGTAGTCAAATATTACTGAACTCTTAAAATTTTCTACTTCATAAAATTGTAATGGCTCCTAATTTTGGTTTAGTGCAGGCAGATTATCTGTACGACCTAAATTGGGCACCAAAGTTTGATGACTTTCTTATCAACTACTTACTTGAAGATAAGCTATGTGGTATCTTTGTTCCTAATGGCGATAATACTGAGTCCATACTTGGTGCTACGCGAGCCTTCAATGCGTGGTTTGGCAAGAGTTTCACGATGGAGTACATCAGAACACGTGTTGGAGTATTGGAGAAACGACATGAGGTTTTCACGGCTCTGAAAGATAAGGCTGGTGTTCAATACGACGTCGACCAGAACCAGTACCATGCTTCGGGCAACACTTGGGATGAAATTCTAATGGTGAGTTTCTTGAAAATAAATGCGTTTTCATGTGTGGTATTTAACATTAGAGTTGCAATCTAATTTATATTTTAATTTTCCCCATAGTGGGATGACTTCTCCCTGGCGTACATGACGGAAGGTGATCCACATCATAATAAACTGGTGGAGTTGTTTTACAAGGAGCCACCATACGTAAATCCGTTGTAGTGGTGTATCATTTCTGACAGTGACGACGAAGGCAAGTAGAAGGGCAATAAGGGCCGTGGCAAAGATGTTGAAGTTATCGATGTGGAGGAGTACCATCCAAACCGTCTGCCACCGAGTAGGTTAGTTCCCTACCCCGTTCGAACTGACATTCCTCCGAGAGTTAAGAAACAACCACCTCGTCCGGCCTTTTATATGGGTAGCAGTTCAAAGGGCCCAAAAAAGAAACAATCCATACACAGTCAAACCAGTTCAACTGATGGCTCTGTGAATCAGCCCGGAAACGACATCTCCTCTCACGGTGCACATGAACCGGAAGAAAATCAGCCCAGACACTACCCCCGCCCATCGCGCATGACCCTAACCATGAGCGCCCTATCGTCTGGGCCCAGGCCTATGAACATAGCAAGCTCCCTGGCATTGTTACACAAACGTAGGCAGATAGCCATTCGGTCCTCACTGGATAGAAAGTGGAAAGCACGAAGCGCATCATTTACTTCGGTCATCTGAGCCTGTGTCGCGAGAGCCTGTGCCGCCTGGTCGTTCGCAATTCTGGCTGCGATTTCATTCAACCTGCCATCAGTGTTCTACGAGAAGGTATCCATAACATCGATGAAACGTTCGTCCACCAGGTTAGTGGACCTCCTCTTTGTGCCCTTCGACATTCCCCCTCTTCTGGAGGTACTATCACATGCCGTACCCGACGACTGGCCGACGTCATTGCCTGGGTTACCAACACCTGTTGTGCACTGCGTGGGACGAAATGGGATGTCATCATATGCTTCATAAGGTGCCTCCTGTTGGACTTCTTGAGCTGCGTCTCCGAAAGACTGGGCATCGGCGCCAGAGGCTCTATCTTTTCCGAAGATTTCATACCAGACATCTAGGTGGGGAAAAGTCTTGTTCCTCAGACCCTTTGCATTAGGATCCACCTAGTGGCCACCCATCAAAGAGTAAAAAAAAGTGTTGATGAAATGTAAATTATGTGACACCGGTTGCATGAGTCAATGTTCGAATTTTAAGTACAAGCAAACCTTAAGCCAGGAAGCCCACTTCTCATCTTCACAAGAGAAGCTTTTTGTAACATCATCCCAACCCATTCCAGAGTTGTTTGATTTTAAAAGGGCCACACTCGCATAAGTTTTCTTCCAGACATGCATTTTCGAGGATATGTGCGGCTCCGCACGAATTTCACATCCTGGCAGAAACTTCTTCATTTTCTTCTCCAAAACAAATGCGTTGCCCGTTCTGAAGCAATTTTCTGTCTTCCAACCCTCGACTACAATCTCCTTCAGAGCATTAATGAGGGCACGCTCTTCGTCCCTTGTCTAAACACGGCATTTTGAGGTGGACCCGCCCTCTTTCCCAGTATCTGATGTAGCTGACGGTTCCATGACAAATATCCTGTTGCGACAATAATTTTGTTGCAATCCTATATTTTTTTATATATTTGGATAATACTGGATTTCCAATATATGAAAAATGACGTTTAACAAAATGATGATATAATGCACATGAAGAAATATATAGAAAAACAACAAACACAATTTTATTTTGTTGGCCGATAATCTACTTAAACAAAAAATAAAAAATAAACATGGTCGATAAGAACATTCATCACAATTACTTTGTTTGATAAACTACCGTATGAAAGTGCACATTGTATACAAAAAAATTATATTTGTTTATCCGCTAGGGAACACCGCCCTGCCAATTTTCGAACATTTGTTGGGCT